GTTTTGTTCGTTGTCGTAGATGTTGTTGAAAGTATAGCGGCTGGATGCAGTTCATTGAGATCATATTCATCATTAGACCTTTACGGTTCTTTACTGCCGTTTTTTGTCGATCAGGGTATTCGGTCAGTTGAGAGTATGGCTAAGCTTAGTTGCTTAGTCACTAGTTTTCGGACTAATGTATGTATGTGTTTCTCCTCCATTCAGAAAGTAACAACAGTTTTACCTACCAGCATAAAGTAACAGATAACGTACCTGTATAGCTCTCATAACAATCACTGGCACGAACCCAAAACGTACGGCGAAAGGAAATGCCAACGTTGAAAGTGTGGACAGCATTCCGAAGATTGTCATTGTACCCCTAAAGATGTTCCAAATGAACTAACAAGGAAGCCTACATTCACTCACTTTGCGAGTTTCTTTTCTATGCTTGTTCTCTGGCCCACTCAGACTCGGAACTGCTGGTAAGCGGTAGACTGAGCAAGAAATTGAGCATACCCAGAACAGGAAGAGAGTGGTTCAAAATGGTTGAAGCCTCTTCGTTAGTGATAGTTTGGAAGTGTGACGTATTGATCACTCCACTCTCATGATATCTACATTTTAGTGCCCATTTATGTGATGAGTAGAATCCCCGGTATAGTTCTGAAACAGAAACTTACCATACGCCCATTCGATGAATAAGATACGGTCCGGGTATCGTACCGACCAGACGGCCAATGGCGATCGCTGAGAACAGCGCATTGATATGGCCACTAGATTCTAGCCAATGTGGTCTCTCTGTAAGTATAGTAGTTAACAACCTGGGGTCCACAGTGAAGAAAAGTGAAAGCAGGTGAAAATAATAAGTTTTCATTGATTTGTTCATCACCAGTTTAATTCTTCGGTGTCTAAAAGTCTTTTTTTTGTATTTTTGCATACACAAGTTCTTGAGCGGGCCTCTTTCCTGTTCTTGTGACTTTCTGTAAAACTCGCTATCCATACCCAAACACTCAGTCCAACACACATACACAGCGCATCCACAGGTGACCAGCGCTCAACTTCACACGCTCCTGTTCTGTTTTTCCCTATTCTTGGAGTCCAATTTCTTCCCATGTTTGCAGAAATGTTTTACTCATGTCTGCACCCAAGAAAGAGTGCGAGTTCGATCCCTGCCGAGACGAAAATTCATGCCTTGCAAAAATTGCAAAAATGGTACCGGTTCCAGCGTCAGGCCCATGTTGACAGGCCGGTTGATGGAGAAACCCAGTCACAACAACCATATCAAAAGTCTCAAAAGTAACCAGTGATAAAGCTAGGCACCCGGAAGTGGCGCACAGGCCCCCGTCCGAGTCATGAAGCTTAGAAACAACCAAGTCCTATGTCTTCAAGAGACTCGCTGGAAAGGAGCAAAGGCTAGAGATATCGGAGAAGGTGTCAAGTTCTATTCTACAGTTCTACAACGGAGACGACACCAAACGAAATGGTGTGGCCATAACTTTGGGAGTCTCTCAAAGAGTATATTTCCGCGGTCAACGGAATCAGCAGTCGAATCGTGGCCGTGAGGATAGACACAAAAGAGGAATATCGGGCAATAATATCCGTATACGCACCACAAGCCTTTTACCCCTAGTGTGAAAAAGACGAGTTACCTGAGCCTCGAGGTCACCATCATATCGCATCCGAGGGATCTATCTCGCCATAGGAGGTGATCTGAATGGGCACGTCGGCAGTGAAAAGAGAGGATTGGAAAAGGTAAATGGAGGTATGAGATTAGGAGTTAAAAGCGAAAAAGGGAAAGGGTCCTTGATGTGGCCTTGGCCCATCGAGGATCCTTTCTCCTCTTCGTTTCTAACTCTTGGCAGGCTGCAGCACCTTCTTCGCGAAAAGGAAGACTCAGAAGGTTACCTACAGGAGTGTAGGATAAGTAACTGATTTAGATCATGTGCTCGTGAGAAGGTCATCCTTCAAAACTGTAGGGGACGTTAAGGTACTGCCTGGCGAGGAAACGGCTACGCAGCACGGGCCTCTTCTAGCAGACCTAGCCATACAGCTTTCTAAAAATCAAACAGAGGAACTCAAACGAAAGATGCTGGAAGTTGGTCTCCTAGATTCTGAAGGACCGATCCAGCAGATCTGAAGCAATGCTATGAAAGTCATCCTACAGTGTGCGAGGGAGACACTGGGAGAGACTCGAGGTGGATTCCTAGGAGGCAAGTAATCATGGTTTTGGGCCATGAAGTCCAGCAAGTCGTAAGACAGAAGAAAGCACCCGAGCTCCAGGAGGCCTAATTGCCTAAAGGACTTTCAAGAGGCTTGCCAAGGCAGCCGACATATACGGTGGGTCCACGACAGCCCTACGCACTCCACACGGCCTAATCGAAGCAATAGACGTCACGGTTGGGGTTCACCAGCGGTCGGCTCTAAACCCGTTCCCCTTCCTACTCACACTGGATGTCATCGCAAGAGGGCTTCTGGAGGGCCCGCTGAAGACTATCCTCTATACTGATGACATTGCTCTGATAGCGGAGAGTAGAGAAGAACTTCAGAAGAAGCTGCAGAAATGGCAGGAAGTGCTGGCGGATAATGGGCTCTGGCTAAATGTGAGCAAGACTAAGTACCTCAACACCAAGCAGTGCACGGAGTCAATCGTAGTCGGTATCGGAGAAATAATCGAAAGGGTGCAGGTCATCCGATACGACTGGAGAGTAATCTAGCCGCTGATGGAAGTTTGGACCAGGCTGTAAAATAGCGAATAAACGCGGCATGGATGAAGTGGAGGGAGTCCATTGGTATACCCTGCGACCGTCGGTGCTCCATAACGCTCAAAGGAAAGGTGTACAGGACAGTGGTGAGGCCCGCTATGATCTACGACAGTGAGTGCTGATCCGTTAATAGGAATCGCGAATGACAGCTTCATTCTGCTGAGATGAGGATGCTTCGATGGGCTGAACGCGACTGGAGCGGATCAGAAACGAGGACGTCAGGGCCCCATACAGGTAGCCACTGTACAGATAAAGATAGACAACAGCGCCTGCGATGGCACGGACACGTAGTGAGAAGACCACCGAATCATACAATAAGGGAGGCACTCGAGTTCGAGGCTGAAGCGAAGCGAACACGAGGAGCTCCAAAGAAGCGGTGGCGGACATGATCAGGAAGGACCTCGCCGAAGCTAAGGTAATGGCAGAAGATGCCGTAGGTAGAAATAAGTGGAGAAGACTGACAAGAATAGCGGACCCTCCGACGGCGCGGGATTAACGCTAGGGAGAAGAAATTCTCAGAAATGTTTTACGCCAAGATGAGCGGAGTTCCCTACACTAAATCTATAGCTTCTAAGGGGAAATCCTGTATAGTAATTTGTGACTGAAATATTCTTGTGCCGTGAGAGGTTGGTAGGTGGAACAATTAATTAAGTCAACGGCTTAACGTTTCGACATTGTCGTCTTCTTCAGTAGCCCAGCTTCCACTGCTCAAGCAAATATAAAATCGCCACAGGCGTTGGTAAGTAGCGAGTAGGATTTGTATTATTATTATACTGTTCATTGTTAGAGAGAGTAGGATTCGCTACTGACAGTCGCCTGTGACGACGGCGGATTTTATATCCGCTTGAGCGGTGGAACTTTGACCTTAGAAGAAAACGATAACGTCGAAACGTTAGGCCGTTGATTTAATAAAACTGTTCCACCTACCAACCTCGCACGGCACAAGAATATTTCAATCATAAACGTCTATGCCAAGGTTGAAACAAGAGAGAAGTTGTAGGCTATGTAGTAAGGTTCAGCAGTGCTTCGACATCTGCTGTAGATTGGATGTCATTTAACGCCCCGACTGAATAGTTTCACAGCACAGTGTCGCAAAGTTTCGTTGGCCGTATCCTATCCTATGATCCCGTCAGCTACAGATGATCCTATCAGCGCTCCTCCGATGATCTATGTGGGAAACCTATAAGCAAGATGCAGGTCTTGAAACCCGGCAAACACTGTTAATTACTGAAAGTCGATTTGCTTGAGGCCATGCTTCCAAGCGCCAACTAAGTAGCGAAGTTCCGCCCCTTACTCAAGTAGCTCCGCCCCCTACGCCGGATGGCTGCTCCCCCTACCGATTGCATCAGCGATTCTAAAGACCATTAGTTAACATCTCGTCTCACAGCACAGAGCTTTTTTCACTCAAAGGTTAGCATCCATAAACCGAGAGGCTTACCGTCGCTAGTGTTAGCTGTTTTCTGGTAGTATTCGGACCGGACGTCATCCATACAGATTACCGTAAAATTGAGAGCTATACTGTTAGAGAATATCAACGTAAGACATAGTAATGATAGAGCCAACATAAAATATCGAGTCCGGTTGAAGCAATACATCTGTAACAATTCAGTAAGAAAAAGATTTCATGGCGCTCGATCGATCTGAACCATGGCCGTATATATGTGGGAAGGTTAATAGAAGATTGAGAAAAATGTGCTGTTAATTCAATAATCACAGATTACGACAGACCCCCTAAGTTAGCGCATTGTGCAAAATAGGTGCCAAGTACGGGGCCGGAGGAAAAGAGAGAGGGGTAAAAAAAAAGGTCGATCCAGAAATGAAATGATGATTTTCCTTTTAAGAGGGAGGGCTAACGTAACTTGGTCGAAATCCTTTTTTGAGGATTTTGTGGTTGGGATCTTGCTTCGACCAGCCGTAAAGAGATTTTTGTAAAGGCCGTCATAATCTAGATGTACCAGGCCAGCAGAAAGCTTGTGAGCAGTTCTGTAGCTTATAATATTGAACCACGTAGTCTGAGTTCGTCCCTCACTATCTTTGAAGCTGGAGCTTCTGGGCACTGAATGTGTAGAGAACCTCTTCATAAATCGGGCAATATGACCCTGTCTGGGCCTGCCACATACCATAAGTATTTCCAACCTGCCGCCTGTGCTCGTTCCAAATTTAAAGGCACAGTTCGTGATGATTCCCTGTTGCTGGCTCGCGCGGCTTTCCCGCCCTCGATCATATCACGTCAGACGAGCGTCGAGAGATACAGATTGCAAATTCTCGTTCTAGGACTCACACACAATCAGCTGATTGCCGAGTAGTCAGGCGATGATTTCCTCCTATCATTTTGCTCTGTTATTCTTTTGCTGCTGCGATCCCTAATTTGATTTTCTACCTCAAAAGGCTGAAAAAGATGAACTATTTCTGCTGTTACTAAGGGTTTTGTTATCTTTGCTTATAAGTGAATGAATGTTTGTCTACCGTAATCAGTTATTCGCACCAGGATCCACACGTACGCACTGACACACATTGTATAGCTCGTCCAAATGCCCCATTCTTCTTCATTTTTCTTAACTTACTCTCGTCCAGCCCCTTTTCAACGATTTTGGGAGCCTTTTTCCACTTTAGAAACACCAATTCACGCAGTTTCATCGCTTTCATCGTACTATTTTTCATCTTGTCTTCCATTTTTCGTCATAATCAGGATTACACAAAATTACCGTAAACTGTGCCTTTGAACGCTCTAGGTCCACGGGGACAGGGATTATGATATTCCGTTCAGGCCCCGCTCATTGTGGACGGAGTCCGGACCTGCCGTCCACCATAAGTGTTCCTATCCTGCCTTCTGTGCTTCTACCAACTTTGAATGCTTTAGGTATACGGCGACAGGAGTTATGAAACTCCGCGCATACATACATACACACAAACACACACGCAGACATGGCGCGTTATACATACGTAGTTGCCTTTTATATTTCGGGATTCGAGAACATTAACGAATACTATTTATTGAAAATCCCTTGACTGCCTTTCAAAATTCTCCACATTAAGATCTGTACACTTTTGCATGGGCTCGAACGAATTTTCGAAGCACTTTTGCCACTATGATTAAGGTAACTCTGAAACATGGGTTCTGGACGCATTAACGGCCTCTTCAGATGTCGAAAAATGTTGACCTCCCATTTTATTTTTACGTACGGGATGAGAAGAGTCACCCGGGGAATACATCGCTGACGACCTGTCAAATCGTTGTTTTGAGTGCTCAAAAATGCAGCTGATTGAGCCGATGTGTGGGAGCTCGCATTGTCGTGGTGAAGAGTGATCCGTCTTCAGCAGTTGATTTTCCTAGTTGGTTTTTTTTTCAGTTGGTTTTTTTTGGAGGACAACTGGCCAACGAATGGTGGTATACCACTCAGAATTGACTGTTCTGCTTGTTCTGGTGGTACGATTGCGACATGCCCAGTTTTTCCAAAAAAGAGGACAATTGTTCGGATGTGCTTGGTGCGCGGACGGCTTTTGTTGGATTTGGCTCATCTTGACTGCTGTATCCTTTCGGGCTCATAAGCATAAATCCATGATCCATTACCTGGCTCGATGCCATAGACGTGTTCCGAAGCATTGCGATTGTATTTTTTGAGAATTTCTTTCAAACAATCGACACGAGTCCCTTTTTTGCGGGATTGACAAATTTTTCAGAAACAGTTTTTTAACAGTCAAATGTTTATGCAAAATTGAATGTAATCTAGTCCCACTAATGCCTAAGGTTGCCTCAATCTCACGATAGGTCACATGACGAACTTGTAGTATTAGTTTGTGCACAGCATGAACCGTTTCCGGAACGAAAACTGATTTTGGACGACCTCCACGAAATTCGTCTTCGAGTGAACTACGACCTCGGATGAACTCACTGTACCATCGATAAACACTGCTCCTGGATGGAGGTTTATCCCCAAAAATTGAACTAAGTTCATCCATGCATTGCTGTTGAGTTAGTCCACGTCGAAAGGTGTAGAAATTAATGGCGCGAAAATGCTTGCGGTTCAACTTCATAACTTGGCCGAAACAAAATCTTATAACTTAGTGTAAACAACACAAATCGCGCTCAAATTTCGCAACGGAACCTCAAAATAGTCAAACTTTACGATAGTGGTGTCAGCTGCTAGATTGCTACACTAGTGTTTCCAAATCCCGAAATATAAAAGGCAACCCTCGTAGTAGGAAGCATGACGAAACGTAAACAAACTTTATGATAGAGAAATGGTCAAATCAGATTCTCAATACTTCTTTTCCCTTGTGAGTTGCTCTGACCCTCCCGTATACAAAAGATGATAGCAAAGAGAGAGAGAGCTTCCAGGAGTTGATCGTAGAAAGGACTTTTTTCAGAATCAGCCCAAAAAAGACCCAATGGCTTATAGAAATGTGCAGAAAAAGTTGAATGACTTATTCTAGTGCGCGTGTATTTATACCGTTTTCTAATCGATAGCTCAAAAAATAATCGATGCCTTTTCACGACCCTCTTAGTAATGCCGATGTTTTGTTCGTTATCGCTGAATCATGAAAACCAATGCCATGAGTGCCTGTTCTGAAGGGGGGCTACTTGAAATTCCTCTCTTTACACGAACTCGATAATCGCGTCTGGTGAATAAGGTGGTAACTATCGGACTAATCCGTTTACAAACCGTTCATACTATCCATGAATGAATAGCAAAGGTCGCGACTACTCTCTGAGTTTGCCACCACTGCAAAACTACATAAAAGAAATGCGGAAAGGAGTTGCTTGAAGATGGGGTTCTTCGAGCTGTACTGCTCATTAGAAAGCACTTGAACAGTAACACCATAACTTCTATGGGATTTTTGGAATGCTTTTCTTTTATGATGGCTTCTCAAAAGCTCTACCCCAATGTACATTCAGAGTTTTTGAGCGCCGAATCCCATTTTTTATTCATAATGCGGCTCACTGCTAATCGATTTCCATTTTTTGGTACTGAAGGCATATTTCAGTTCCGTCTTCGGCTTTCTTTCCTTTTTCATTCAACAACAGCAAAATTATAATAATTTTATTAATTTAATAATTATTATCTCGGTTGCGTCGATTCGTTCTTCCCATTTTCTCTTCTGACTCCTGTAACCTTTTCCGGTAGCGCATGAACCTAGAAATTCTATTTTTATGGCTGGCCAGAAACTTGGAGGAAAAAAAATAAGGAAAAGTGGGAAAATTTATCAGTTTTTGAGAATTTGTTGACGCTCGCTGTAGGATCTTCAGCTGTTACTGCTTCTTCTTCACTGCCTAGTTTCCAAGCCGAGAAATGTGCTAACCTTATTTCCTGTCCATGGTGCTGGTTCGCTCCTGGCGAGAAA